AATCATAGGCGCCGAACTTTTCTTCGCAAAAGAACCAAGCCGAAAAGGCTCTAGTATGTGTACTTTAACATGGGCCAGTTGAATATGCAATGTAATTCAGGTTGTTGAATGCATTTCCCTACGCCTATAGGGATTCACGCGCTTTCTATGCACTTGGCGGCAAAAACGGCCGAAATCGTAGGCGCCAGACTTTTTTTCGCACAAGAACCAAGCCAGAAAGGCTCTGATATGTGTATTTGAATATGGGCCACTTGAATATGCAATGTAATTCAGGTTGTTGAATGCATTTCCCTACGCCTATAGGGATTCACGCGCTTTCTAGGCACTTGGCGGCAAAAACGGCCGAAATCGTAGGCGCCGAACTTTTCTTCGTGCAAGAACCAAGCCGAAAAGGCTCTAGTATGTGTATTTGAACATGGGCCACCCGAATATGCAAAAAACATCAGGTTGTTGAATGCTTTCTGTCAGAATCCCAGCCACTAACCACAGGGATAAAAGGGCTTGTTTGTGTAGCGGGTGAGTGCGCCTATAACCCCCCAGGCCAACGTGCCTGTAACCCTTCCCTAGGATCATCGGGGATCACCAGTGGACCTCTGACACCCCCCCGCACTGGGATGCCCGAGGTGCACACACCGGGATTCGAACCCGAGACCTTTGCTCTGATACCATGTCAAAATAGTAGGCACAAGTAGGAGCCATAGCTAGGGTTGACCTAGCTAGGCAAGAGAGAATGAAGCAAAGGAGGGTTTGCACTAGCAAGAATGGGGATACAAATAGCAAACCCTAGAAGGGTTGTACTCGCTATAGAGCACCCCACTACAGGCTAGAACATAATATTCTGACACACCCCCATAGCCAAAGTGGGGTGTAATCAGCAGAGCAAGCAAAGCAGTACAAGCTCAGGGTGGATCACAATGTCACCACACATTCTGAGCACAAGTTCAAGAAGCAATAGTTTAAAGTTCACAATTATGAGCAAAGCTAGAGGTAGTCACAGAGGGCAAGTGAGGAGGAGGAGGGCTGGCGAGGGGAGAGAGGAGTGGAGGCGACGACTGAAGCTGCAGACACACGGGCAACAGACGGCTCTGGTGCAGCTCTAGTGGCTACCGGGAGCAAGGGCCCCGGAATACAGGAGTAACAGGCTCTGCGTCTGATCAGCAGCGACAGGAGCAACGGACCCACGGGCGACAGGTGCAACCGGCTCTCTGAGCTACCGGTGGCTATCAGAACCCCGGAATACAGGCGCTGCAGACGACACGACGGCTGCCTCCACCCAACCTCCTCCAACTGTCCCACACCCCCCAACACACACCCCCTGCTGCAACCCCTAACTCCACTCCCACGTCACCCCCCTAGCACCACTCCTTCGGCTCCCCACACACCCACCCCCCTCAGCGGCAGCTGCAGCAGTGGGAGACGGAGGAGGAGGAGGAGCAGGGGACGGCTCACACTCACGGCACCCCCATACCCTCCACCCCCAAACCCTAACACAGGAACGCGGGCAGTAGCGGGGGTGGGGCGCCGGCAGAAGCTCGGGGGACGGACGAGGCGCGCGCACGGGCCTGCCGCAGGCCGGACGAGGCGCGCGCGGGCTGCCCGGGCCGCGCGCGGGCCTGGCGCAGCCCGTACGGGCCGCGCGCGGGCCTGGCGCAGGCCGTACGGGCCGCGCGCGGGCTGTACGGGCCGCGCGCGGGCCTGGCGCAGCCCGTACGGGCCGCGCGCGGGCCTGGCGCAGCCCGTACGGGCCGCGCGCGGGTCCCAGGGGCGCTTCGACGGGCGACGGGGGCGTTTCGACGGGCGACGGGGGGCGCTCCGACGGGCGACGGGGGCGCTTCGACGGGCGACGGGGGGGAGCGCTTCGACGGGCGACGGGGGGCGCTTCGACGGTGGGAAACCGCCGCGCGCCTCGGGGCGCACGGCGGGCAGAAAACCGCCGCGCGCCCCGAGCGCGCGGCGGGAAGAAAAAAAACGAACATCGCGCGCCACGGGACGCGCGACACACAGGAAGGCAGCGGAAGCAGGCGGGCCCACAGGCCAGGAGCGTAACCGCTCTGATAGCATGTCAGAATCCCAGCCACTAACCACTGGGATAAAAGGGCTTGTTTGTGTAGCGGGTGAGTGCGCCCATAACCCCCCAGGCCAACGTGCCTGTAACCCTTCCCTAGGATCATCGGGGATCACCAGTGGACCTCTGACACTTTCCCCTACGCCTAGGAATTCACGCGCTTTCTAGGCACTTGACGGCAAAAAACAGCAAAAATCGTAGGCGCCAAACTTTTCTTCGCACAAGAACCAAGCCCAAAACGCTCTAGTATGTGTATTTGAGCATGGGCCACTCGAATATGCACTAAATTCAGGTAGTTGAATGATTTTCTCTACGCCTATAGGGATTCACGCGCTTTCTAGGCAGTTGGCGGCAAAAACGGCCGAAATCGTAGGCGCCGAACTTTTCTTCGCACAAGAACCAAGCCAAAAAGGCTCTATTATGTGTATTTGAACATGGGGCAGTCGAATATGCAATACAATTTGGGTTGTTGAATGCTTTTCCCTACGCCTATAGGGATTCACGCGCTTTCTTGGCGCTTGAGGCAGAATCGGCCTAAATCATAGGCGCCGAACTTTTCTTCGCAAAAGAACCAAGCCGAAAAGGCTCTAGTATGTGTATTTGAACATGGCCAGTTGAATATGCAATGTAATTCAGGTTGTTGAATGCATTTCCCTACGCCTATAGGGATTCACGCGCTTTCTATGCATATGGCACTTGGCGGCAAAACGGCCGAAATCGTAGGCGCCAGACTTTTTTCGCACAAGAACCAAGCCAAAAGGCTCCGATATGTGTATTTGAATATGGGCCACTTGAATATGCAATGTAATTCAGGTTTGTTGAATGCTTTCCCCTACGCCTATAGGGATTCACGCGCTTTCTATGCACTTGGCGGCAAAAACAGCAAAATCGTAGGCGCCGAACTTTTCTTCGCACAAGAACCAAGCTCAAAACGCTCTAGTATGTGTATTTGAGCATGGGCCACTCGAATATGCACTAAATTCAGGTTGTTGAATGTTTTTCCCTACGCCTATAGGGATTCACGCGCTTTCTAGGCAGTTGGCGGCAAAAACGGCCGAAATCGTAGGCGCCGAACTTTTCTTCGCACAAGAACCAAGCCAAAAAGGCTCTATTATGTGTATTTGAATATGGGCAGTCGAATATGCAATACAATTTGGGTTGTTGAATGCTTTTTCCCTACGCCTATAGGGATTCACGCGCTTTCTTGGCAGCTTGGAGGCAAAATCGGCCTAAATCATAGGCGCCGAACGTTTCTTCGCAAAAACCAAGTCGGAAAGGATCTGGTATGTGTATTTGAACATGGGCCAGTTGAATATGCAATTAAATTTAGGTTGTTGAATGCATTTTCCTACGCCTATATGGATTCACGCGCTTTCTAGGCACTTGGTGGCAAAAACGGCCGAAATCGTAGGCGTCGAACTTTTCTTCGCACAAGAACCAAGCCGAAAAGGCTCTGGTATGTGTATTTGAACATGGGCCACTTGAATATGCAATAAAATTCAGGTTGTTGAATGCATTTCCCTACGCCTATAGGGATTCACGCGCTTTCTAGGCACTTGGCGGCAAAAACGGCCAAAATCGTAGGCGCCGAACTTTTCTTCGCACAAGAACCAAGCCGAAAAGGCTCTGGTATGTGTATTTGAACATGGGCCACTTGAATATGCAATAAAATTCAGGTTGTTGAATGCTTTTCCCTACGCCTATAGGGATTCACGCGCTTTCTAGGCACTTGGCGGCAAAAACGGCCGAAATCGTAGGCGCTGAACTTTTCTTCGCACAAGAACCAAGCCAAAAAGGCTCTAGTATGTGTATTTGAACATGGGGAGTCAACTATGCAATAAAATTCAGGTTGTTGAATGCTTTTCCCTACGCCTAAAGGGATTCACGCGCTTTCTTGGCGCTTGGCGACAAAATCGGCCGAAATCATAGGCGCCGAAATTGTTTTCGCAAAAAAACCAAGCCGGAAAGGCTCTGGTATGTGTACTTGAACATGGGCTGGTTGAATATGCAATAAAATTCAGGTTGTTGAATGCTTTTCTCTACGCCTATAGGGATTCACGCGCTTTCTAAGCACTTGGGGACAAAAACGGCCAAAATTGTAGGCGCCGAACTTTTCTTCGCACAAGAACCAAGTTAAAAAGGCTCTGGTGTGTGTATTTGAACATGGGCCACTTGAATATGCAATAAAATTCAGGTTGTTGATTGCTTTTCCCTACACCTATAGGGATTTACGCGCTTTCTAGGCACTTGGCGGCAAAAACAGCCGAAATCGTAAACGCCGAACTTTTCTTCTTCGCAAAGAACCAAGCCGAAAAGGCTCTGATAAGTGTATTTGAATATCGGCCACTTGAATATGCAATAAACTTCAGGTTTTGGAATGCATTTCCCTACGTCCATAGGGATTCACCGCTTTCTAGGCACGTGGCGGCAAAATCGGTCGAAATCGTAGGCGCCGAACTTTTCTTTGCACAAGATTCAAGCCGAAAAGGCTCCGGTATGTGTATTTGAACATGGGCCACTTGAATATGCAATAAAATTCATGTTGTTGAATGCTTTTCCCTACGCCTACGGGGATTCACGTGCTTTTTAGGCTCTTGACGCCAAAAACGGCCGAAATCGTAGGCGCCGAGCTATTCTTCGCGCAGAAAACAAGCTGAAAAGGCTCTAGTATGTGTATTTGAACATGGGCCACCCGAATATGCAATAAAATTCAGGTTGTTGAATGCTTTCCCCTACGCCTATAGGGATTCACGCGCTTTCTAGGCACTTGGCGGCAAAAACGGCCGAAATCGTAGGCGCCGAACTTTTTTTCGCGCAAGAACCAAGCCGAAAAGGCTCTAGTATGTGTATTTGAACATGGGCCACCCGAATATGCAATAGAATTTCAGGGTTTTGAATGCTTTCCCCTACGCATATAGGAATTCACGCGCTTTCTATGCACTTGGCGGCAAAAACGGCCAAAATCGTAGGCGCCGAACTTTTCTTCTTTTTGTTTTTTTTTTTTTTTTTTTTTTTTTTCTTTTGTTTTTTTCTTTCTTTTCTTTTCTTTTCTTTTCTTTTCTTTTCTTTTCTTTTCTTTCTTTGCACTTTTCTTATCTTTTATTTCTTTTCTTTTCTTTTCTTTTCTTTTCTTTTCTTTCTTTTATTTTATTTTCTTTTCTTTATCTTTTCTTTTCTTTCTTTTCTTTCTTTTTTATGTGTATTTGAACAAGGGCCACTTGCATATGCAATAAAACTCAGGTTGTTGAAAGCTTTTTCCTGCGCCTATAGAGATCCACGCGTTTTCTAGGCACTTGGCGGCAAAAACGGCCGAAATCGTAGGCGCCGAACTTTTCTTTGCACAAGAACCAGCCCCAAAAGCTCTAGTATGTGTATTTGAGCATGGGCCACTCGAATATGCAATACAATTCCAGTTGTTAAATGCTTTTCCCTACGCCTATAGGAATTCACGCGCTTTCTAGGCACTTGGCGGCAAAAATGGCCGAAATCGTAGGCGCCGAACTTTTTTCTTTGCCATAAGAACCAAGCCGAAAAGGCACTAGTATGGGTATTTGAACATGGTGCACTCGAATATGCAATAAAATTCAGGTTGTTCAATGCTTTTCCCTACGCCTATAGGGATTTACGCGCTTTCTAGGCACTTGGCGGCAAAAAAAAAAAATCGAAATCGAAGGCGCCGAACTTTTCTTCGCGCAAGAACCAAGCCAAAAAGGCTCTAATATGTGTATTTGAACATGGGCCATTCGAATATGCAATAAAATTCAGGTTGTTGATTGCTTTTCCCTACGCCTATAGGGATTCAAATCGCTTTTTAGGCACTTGGCGGCAAAAACGGCCAAAATCGTAGGCGCCGAACTTTTCTTCGCACAAGAACCAAGCCAAAAAGGCTCTAGTATGTGTATTTGAACATGGGGCAGTCGAATATGAAATAAAATTCAGGTTGTTGAATGCTTTCCCCTACGCCTATAGGGATTCACGCGCTTTCTAGGCACTTGGCGGAAATAACAGCCGAAATCGTAGACACCGAACTTTTCTTCGCACAAGAACCAAGCCGAAAAGGCTCTAGTAGGTGTATTTGAACATGGGCCACTTGAATATGCAATAAAATTCAGGTTGTTGAATGCTTTTCCCTACGCCTATATGGATTCACGCGCTTTCTAGGCACTTGGCGGCAAAATCGGCCGAAATTGTAGGCGCCAAACTTTTCTTCGCACAAGAACCAAGCCCAAAAGGCTCTAGTATGTGTATTTGAATATGGGCCACTTGAATATACAAAAAAATTCAGGTTGTTTGATGCTTTTCCCTACGCCTATAGGGATTCACACGCTTTCTAGGCACTTGACGACAAAATCGGCCGAAATCGTAGGCGTCGAACTTTTCTTCGCACAAGAACCAAGCCAAAAAGGCTCTAGTATGTGTATTTGAACATGGGCCACTTGAATATGCAATAAAATTCAGGTTGTTGAATGCTTTCCCCTACGCCTATAGGGATTCACGCGCTTTCTAGGCACTTGGCGGCAAAAACTGCCGAAATCGTAGGCGCCGAACATTTCTTCGCACAAGAACCAAGCCGAAAAAGCTCTAGTATGTGTATTTGAACATGGGCCAGTTGAATATGCAATAAACTTCAGGTTGTTGTATGCTTTTCCCTACGCCTATATGGATTCACGCGCTTTCTAGGCACTTGGCGGCAAAATCGGCCGAAATTGTAGGCGCCAACTTTTCTTCGCCACAGAACCAAGCCCAAAAGGCTCTAGTATGTGTATTTGAATATGGGCCACTTGAATATGCAAAACAATTCAGGTTGTTTGATGCTTTTCCCTACGCCTATAGGGATTCACACGCTTTCTAGGCACTTGGCGGCAAAATCGGCCGAAATCGTAGGCGCCGAACTTTTCTTTGCACAAGAACCAAGCCAAAAAGGCTCTAGTATGTGTATTTGAACATGGGCCACTTGAATATGCAATAAACGTCAGGTTGTTGAATTTTTTCCCTACGCCTATAGGGATTCACGCGCTCTGTAGGCACTTGGCGGCAAAAACTGCCGAAATCGTAGGCGCCGAACATTTCTTCGCACAAGAACCAAGCCGAAAAAGCTCTAGTATGTGTATTTGAACATGGACCACTCGAATATGCAATAAAATTCAGGTTGTTGAATGATTTTCCTACGCCAATAGGGATTCACGCGCTTTTTAGGCACTTGGCGGCAAAAACGGCCGAAATCGTAGGCGCCGAACATTTCTTCGCACAAGAACCAAGCCGAAAAAGCTCTAGTATGTGTATTTGAACATGGACCACTCGAATATGCAATAAAATCCGGGTTTTTTTAATGCTTTTCCCTGCGCCTATAGGGATTCACGCGCTTTCTAGGCACTTGGCGGCAAAAATGGCCGAAATTGTAGGCACCGAAGTTTTCTTTGCACAAGAACCAAGCCGAAAAGGCTTTAGTATGTGTATTTGAACATGGGCCACTTGAATATGCAATAAAATTTAGGTTGTTGAATGCTTTTCCCTACGCCTGTAGGGATTCACGCGTTTTCTAGGCACTTGGCGGAAAAATCGGCCGAAATCCTAGGCGCCGAACTTTTCTTTGCACAAGAACCAAGCCAAAAAGGCTCTAGTATGTATATTTGAACATGGGCCACTTGAACATGCAATACACTTCAGGTTGTTGAATGCTTTTCCTTACGCCTATAGGGATTCGCGCGCTTTCTAGTCACCTGGCGGCAAAATCGGCCGAAATCTTGGGCGCCGAACTTTTCTTCGCACAAGAACCAAGCCGAAAAAGCTCTAGTATGTGTATTTGAACATGGACCACTCGAATATGCAATAAAATTCAGGTTTTTGAATGCTTTTCCCTGCGCCTATAGGGATTCACGCGCTTTCTAGGCACTTGGCGGCAAAAACGGCCGAAATCGTAGGAGCCGAACTTTTCTTCGTGCAAGAACCAAGCCGAAAAGGCTCTAGTATGTGTATTTGAACATGGGCTACTCGAATATGCAATAAAATTCAGGTTGTTGAATGCTTTCCCCTACGCCTATAGGGATTCACGCGCTTTCTTGGCACTTGGCGACAAAAACGGCCGAAATCGTAGGCGCCGAACTTTTCTTCGCACAAGAACCAAGCCAAAAAGGCTCTAGTATGTGTATTTGAACATGGGCCATTTGAATATGCAATAAAATCCAGATTCCCTACGCCTATATGGATTCACGCGCTTTCTAGGCACTTGGCGGAAAAAACGGCCGAAATCGTAGGCGCCGAACTTTTCTTCGCACAAGAACCAAGCCGAAAAGGCTCTGGTATGTGTATTTGAACATGGGCCACTCGAATATGCAATAAAATTCAGGTTGTTGAATGCTTTTCCCTGCGCCTATAGGGATTCACGCGCTTTCTAGGCACTTTGCGGCAAAAACGGCCGAAATCGTAGGCGCCGAACTTTGCTCTAGTATGTGTATTTCAAAAGGGCCACTCGAATATGCAACAAAATTCAGGTTGTTGAATGCTTTTTCCTACGCCTATAGGGATTCACGCGCTTTCTAGGCACTTGGCGACAAAAACGGCCGAAATTGTAGGCGCCGAACTTTTCTTCGCACAAGAACCAAGCCAAAAAGGCTCTAGTGTGTTTTGTCAGAATCCCAACCACTAACCATTGGGATAAAAGGGCTTGTTTGTGTAGCGGGTGAGTGCGCCCATAACCCCCCAGACCAACGTGCCTGTAACCCTTCCCTAGGATCAATCGGGATCACCAGTGGACCTCTGACACCCCCCCGCACTGGGATGCCCGAAGTGCACACACCGGGATTCGAACCCGAGACCTTTGCTCTGATACCATGTCAGAATCCCAACCAGAGCCCACGTGAAGTCGGAGCTGCAGAGGAGACACACGTGCACAGACCTGGGTGAACTGACGAGCTATCTTGGCTTGCGGATCACCCGGGACAGAGCACGGCGCACCATCACCTTGACTCAGTCACACATGGTGCAGCAGATCCTCCAGCGCTTCCGCTTCACGTACTCCTCGCCTCAGTCCACTCCTCTGCCTACCGGTCACTCGCTCTCAGCTCTGCCTTCGGATGAGTCCGTAGAGCCGAGTGGCCCGTATCCAGAGCTTGTGGGCTGCCTCATGTACCTGATGACCTGCACTCGACCTGATCTGGCATACCCTCTAGCATCCTTGCACGCTTGCGCTTATGTCGCTCCTGGCCGTCACAGGAAGGAGCACATGGATGCCGCTAAGAGGGTGTTGCGCTACTTGTGCAGTACGTCGGGCATGGGGCTTGTGCTTGGAGGGCGCGACCGAGTTGTTCTCACAGGGCACTCAGACGCTTCTTGGGCAGACGACCAGGCTACTCAGCGGTCGTCTCAGGGTTACACCTTCAGCCTTGGTTCTGGCTCAGTTTCTTGGCGCTCTACACGTTCTTCTTCTGTTCTCAGCTCCAGTTGCGAGGCTGAGATCTACGCCACAGCCATGGCTGCCCAGGAGCTACGCTGGCTGACCTACCTGCTGACCGACCTGGGAGAGCGGCCTCGTTCTCCTCCAGTGCTGTACGTCGACAACAAGGCTGCCATTGCCTTGTGTGAGGAGCACAGACTGGAGCACAGAACGAAGCACATTGCCCTGCGGTACTTCCTTGCTCGAGAGCTACAGCAGCGCGGTCAGCTTTGTATTCGCTACGTGGCCACTGAGGCCAACACTGCTGATGTGTTCACCAAGGCGCTTTAGCCTTGTGACCATCAGCGCTTCTGCACTCTACTAGGCCTTGTGCCTACTGGACCTCACTTACTTACCTCTTGACCTTGCTTGTACTGTGATCACTATATATATCTACCTGCATGTTTACTCTTGCTAGGTTGTGATCACTGTATCTCTTGCTCTGTTATAAACCTGCATGTGAACTGGTCTTGTGACCACTAGCTTGTGCTCGGAATTTGTGTGGAATCCTTGAGATCCACCCTGAGCTTGTGTTGCTTTGCTTTGCTTGACTGGTCTTGTGACCCCTAGGTCTCTCCCACCTTGCCTATGGGGGTGTGTCAAACATTGTATATGTTGTATTTGAGTAGGCTGTAGTGGGTTAGCCTATAGGGGGGTCACAACATTAGGGTTTCATATTTGTACTCACAATCCTTTCTAGTCCATCATTCCAGTCCGTTATTACTGACATGGTATCAGAGCAAAGGTCTCGGGTTCGAATCCCGGTGTGTGCACTTCGGGCATCCCAGTGCAGGGGGGTGTCAGAGGTCCACTGGTGATCCCCGAAGTGCACACACCGGGATTCGAACCCGAGACCT